CGTGCAACTACAGCGTCGTACAAGGTCTGAGCACTCTTGTACTGGCTAAAGTGCGCACGCTCAGAGGTAGGCAGGTGGCGACGCACAGCAAGACGTGCAGCAGCATCGCGCGTGGCCCACTGGGAGCGAACAGTTGCGTCAGCATCAGTGGCGGGGGCAGGAGAGGCACCAGAAGTGAGGTCAAAGAGGGAGAGGCCGTCTGCCCTATCGCACTGTAAGAAAAGCTGCAGGTCATCTATCCAGACGTCAAAGTCAATGGCCCGACCCTCAGCGTCAAAAGCGAGGACACTAGGGGTAGCCATGACAGCAGTAGACTAGCAGCGCAAACAGTGGGGTGAGGGCAGTGCTGTGAGAGAGGCGCTGCTCTTACCGGACAGGGCGGCTCGGGCGGCTCGGCTGCAGGGCGGCTCGGCGACTCGGCTGCTGGGCGGCTCGGCTGCTGGGCGGCTCGGCGGCTGGGCGGCTCAGCGGCTCGGCTGCTGGGCGGCTTGGCGGCTCTGCTGCTGGGCGGCTCGGCTGCTGGGCGGCTCGGCGGCTCGGCTGCTGGGCGGCTCGGTGGCTCAGCTGCTGGGCGGCTAGGCTGCTGGGCGGCTCGGCGGGGCCGCTGAGAGGGCGGCGTCCGGGGCCGCTGGGAGGTGGCGGCGGGGCCGCTGAGAGGAGGCGGCGTGGCCGGAAAGGTAGGTGGCGGGGCCGCGTCAGGGGCCGCGACAGGGGCCGCGTCAGGGGCCGCGTCAGGGGCCGCGGCAGGGGCCGCGTCAGGGGCCGCGGCAGGGCCGCGTCAGGGCGCCGCGTCAGGGGCCGCGTCAGGGCGCCGCCAGGGGCCGCGGCAGGGCCGCGTCAGGGCCGCGTCAGGGGCCGCTTCAGGGCCGCGGCAGGGGCCGTAGCAGGCCGCGTCAGGGCCGCGTCAGGGGCCGCGGCAGGGCCGCGTCAGGGCCGCAGCAGGGGCCGCGTCAGGGCGCCGCGTCAGGGGCCGCGTCAGGGCGCCGCCAGGGGCCGCGGCAGGGCCGCGTCAGGGCCGCGTCAGGGCCGCGGCAGAGCCGCGTCAGGGCCGCGTCAGGGGCCGCTTCAGGGCCGCGGCAGGGGCCGCGTCAGGCCGCGTCAGGGCCGCGTCAGGGGCCGCGGCAGGGCCGCGTCAGGGGCCGCGGCAGGGCCGCGTCAGGGGCCGCGGCAGGGCCGCGTCAGGGCCGCAGCAGGGGCCGCGTCAGGGCGCCGCGTCAGGGGCCGCGTCAGGGCGCCGCCAGGGGCCGCGGCAGGGCCGCGTCAGGGCCGCGTCAGGGCCGCGGCAGAGCCGCGTCAGGGCCGCGTCAGGGGCCGCTTCAGGGCCGCGGCAGGGGCCGCGGCAGGCCGCGTCAGGGCCGCGTCCGGGGCCGCGGCAGGGCCGCGTCAGGGCGCCGCCAGGGGCCGCGTCAGGCCGCGTCAGGGCCGCGTCAGGGCGCCACCAGGGGGCGCGTCAGGGGCCGCGATAGGGCGCCGGCAGGGGCCTCGTCAAGGCGCCGCCAGGGGCCGCATAGGGGGCGCGTGGGAGGCGGCGTAGGGGCCGCGTAGGGGCAGCGTAGGGGCCGCTAAAAAAAAATTTTAGGGCAGGGCGCAATGTGCGCGGGCAGCTAAAAAAAAAATTCTTATGGTGGGCCCTTAGGAAGGAACGGTCCCATGTAGGAACCCGCTCTATACCATGTGAATCAAGAACACAGGAATGAAATGACTAAGTGAAAGTTGGGTACAAAAGGCAAACCCTAGGCAACTGTACCCCATATGTGCTACCCCACTATAGCCTACAGTAGCTATGTCATATAACTCTGACATCCCGACCCCGCGCTCTTACACTGAGGCGATCGCGGGTGAGTACTCCTCTCAGTGGCAGACAGCCATGGACGCAGAGATGGCATCTTGGAAGTCCACAGGCACGCACGTCGACGAGGTTCCCCCTCCTGGGGCGAACATCGTCGACGGCATGTGGATTTTCAGGGTGAAGCGGCCGCCGGGTTCTCCGCCTGTCTTCAAGGCTCGTTACGTTGCTCGAGGCTTCAGTCAGCGGGAGGGAGTTGATTACTTCCAGACTTTCTCCCCCACCCCGAAGATGACCACTCTTCGGGTGCTGCTGCACGTTGCCGCTCAACGTGACTACGAGCTTCACTCTCTTGACTTCAACACAGCTTTCTTACAGGGCAGCCTGCACGAGGAGATCTGGCTGCGCCGCCCTCCTGGCTTCACTGGGTCGTTCCCTCCTGGTACCCAGTGGAGCCTCCGGCGGCCGGTCTACGGTCTCCGCCAGGCGCCACGTGAGTGGCACGACACACTGAGGACGACACTTGCGGCTCTTGGGTTCGCGCCTTCTACTGCTGACCCGTCGCTGTTTCTGCGCACCGACACTTCGCTGCCGCCGTTCTACATCCTCGTGTACGTCGACGACTTGGTCTTTGCCACCGACACTGAGGCTCTCGCCTTGGTGAAGTCGGAGCTGCAGAAGAGACACACGTGCACAGACCTGGGTGAGCTGCGCAGCTACCTTGGCTTGCAGATCACCCGGGACAGAGCACGCCGCACCATCACACTGACTCAGTCACACATGGTGCAGCAGGTCCTTCAGCGCTTCGGCTTCACCTGGTCCTCGCCACAGCACACTCCTCTGGCTACAGGTCACTCGCTCTCAGCTCCACCTTCGGACGAGTCCGTAGAGCCGAGTGGTCCTTACCCAGAGCTAGTTGGCTGCCTCATGTACCTGATGACCTGCACTCGTCCTGACCTTGCGTACCCTCTTGGCCTTCTCGCTCGCTACGTGGCTCCTAGTAGGCACCGACCGGAGCACATGGCTGCTGCTAAGAGGGTACTGCGCTACTTGTGCAGTACATCGGGCATGGGGCTCGTGCTTGGAGGGCGGAGCCCAGTTGTCCTTGCTGGGCACTCGGACGCTTCTTGGGTTGACGACCTGGCTAGACAGCGGTCGTCACAGGGTTACACCTTCAGCCTTGGCTCTGGCTCTGTTTCTTGGCGGTCTACACGCTCGTCTTCTGTTCTCGGCTCCAGTTGTGAGGCTGAGATCTACGCCACAGCCATGGCTGCACAGGAGCTACGCTGGCTCACCTACCTGCTGACCGACCTGGGAGAGCGGCCTCGTTCTCCTCCAGTGCTGTACGTAGACAACAAGGCCGCCATTGCCTTGTGTCAGGAGCACAGACTGGAGCACAGAATGAAGCACACCGCTCTGCTGATATATTCACCAAGGCACTTCCGTCTGGTGATCATCAGCGTTTCTATACTTTGTTAGGCTTGGTGCCTACGTTTCCTCACTTGCTGTAGACCTTGTTTGTACTGTGATGTATATATATACCTGCTTGCTTGCTTTGCTAGGTAGAGATCACTGTGATGCTGTTGTTGCATATATACCTCTGCATGTGAACTGGCCTTGTGGCCCTTTGCTTGTGCTCAATGTGTGTGGTGACGTTGTGATCCACCCTGAGCTTGCTTTGCTTCTCTTGACTGGTCTTGTGACCCCTTGCTCTCCCCCACTTTGCCTATGGGGGTGTGTCAAACTATGATAATGCTTGTGCTGTGTAGGCTGTAGTGGGGTAGCCCATAAGGGGTACAACCCAAATTAGGGTTAGCATATGTACCCACATCTCTATCAATGCACTCATTCCTGCTGCTAGATTCTAACACAATTAGCACCACCACCTCCTTGTGAAATGTGCTGCTGCTTATTAGATAATAGCAACCAACGGGAAGCTGCTCACGAGATGGTTTGAACAGCAATCACCGACCGCACAGCATGCCCCTGCTTGTCCTTCCACGTTATGCTCCCAAACGAGAAACTGTTGGTTACCTTTTTAGGTGTGATCGTCACCTTATAGGTCACCGACCCGCCCTGTGGTATACTGAACTCACTAGGCCGTACTGACACCGAGGCAGTACTAGGCGGCACCACCGTTGCTCGATATGTCGACATGGAATTCCCCACATTTGTCACTGTCCTTACCACCGTAACCGTTTTCTTCAACCGCGACACTGAAATCGAAGCCCTGTTAAGGTTGTACGCTGGAATCGGGCTCAGATTCCCAAGACTGGAAAACAGCCCTGCTGCTTTCCCCGCATCCTGCCCGGCCAGAAAATTCGCAAAATCCCTGATCCCTGCATTATAAGTCAACCCCGGATCCAGCACCTTCCTAGGGTTGATGTGCCCAGCGCCCATGTCCCACGGCGAAGCAACACTCCCTGTCTCTCCTGCTGGTATCGGCCCGCCCTGGTTCGTCCTCAGCGTCGCAGTCGACATCATTGCTGAAATCACCTGAGCAGGTGTCCAGTCAGGGTGTTTCTGCAGCATCAGCAGGGCGATCCCAGCCATCTGCGGAGTAGCCATGGACGTCCCAGACAGCAACCCAAAGTTATTCGGATCTGAAGTCGGGAACTGCGCGCGCCACGGGCCCCAGAGGTTAACTCCCGGGCCCACCACATCGGGCTTTAAGATGTCGTTCGTGGCGATCCCAGGGCTGGGAGGCAGCGCGGGGTTGGTGACGGGTCCCCTGGAGGAGAAGTCTGCAATGATGGGCGCAAGGAAATTGTCCACTCCGTATGGTGCAGACAGACGGGCTGTGGCCCTGTGAAAACGGGGGGGCGGGGATGCAGGAGGGACAACTTTTGAGTCGACTCGAAAGTAGCAATGATGGGAGCGAGGAAATCGTCCACTCCATGCGGCGCAGACAGGCGGGCCGTGGCCCTGCGAAGAGGAGAGTGAGTCAGGGGAGGGGGGGGGATCAGGATGAGCCTTGTGGTGAGTGAGCAGGAGAGGGATGGTGTAGGCTGGAACGAGGAGATGGTTGAAGGGGGGACGGAAGCGACAGGATGGGTCGCAACAAGAGGGTCACACGCCATGTGAAACCGGAAAATGAGTGGATGGCAGAGAAGATACAACACCCTCGTTGCTAGCAGCAGGAATAGCAGCGGACAGGAACACCGTGTTGTTCACCCCACCCGCACACCCACAACCCACATCGCCCCACAGCCATTTACCTGCCCATGGATATGTATTTCAGCAGCGCCTCCGACGCCGTCGCGTTGAGATGAATCACCGGGATAGCCGCGCGCAGGAATACCGTGTTGTTCACCCCACCCGCCACGTTCGCGATCACCAGCGCTGCTGCGCCCGCGGCTGTGGCCGCCTGCAGCTTGTCCCCCAGCGTGTTCTCGCCCCGCGCGCACACCAGTATCTTTCCCGCCACCTTGGAGGCTGTGAGCGAAGTCGAGTAGCACAGGCGCGCCTGGGGGTTGGGGGGAGGGAGGGAGGATGAAATGGGAGGGGCATGAGAGCGTGTTCTCCCCCCGCGCGCACACCAGGATCTTGCCCGCCACCTTGGGCGGCGTCAGCGACGTGGAGTAGCACAGGCGCGCCTGCAGGTTGCAGAGAGGGAGGACACGGGGAGGAACGGATGGACTTTCGAGTCGACTCAAACGTCCGCCACCTTGGAGGGCGTCAGCGACGTGGAGTAGCACAGGCGCGCCTGCAGGTGCGGGGGGGGAGAAGACGGGTCAAGAAAGCCTTCTCCGGGTCCTCCCACAAGCTATGCCGCGTAGCAAAGGTGAGCTCGGAGCAGGGCAGGGAGGCAGGGCAGGGCAGGGCAGGGCAGGGCAGGGCAGGGCAGGGCAGGGCAGGGCAGGGCAGGGCAGGGCAGGGCAGGGCAGGGGAGCCAGCACACAACAGCCGTGAGGCTGGACAGAGCAGCACTGAACAAGGGAAGTAGCACGCTCGTACCTTGGTGGCGCTGGCATAGGGCTTGACGGCGGAAGAGCCGTCAACGAGCGTCATCTGCTTGTTGGTGCCGCCCCAACTGAGCCCCCGCAGCTGCACCCCGTTCCCCAGCGTCAGCGTTGCCATGTACCGCCGGTCCGTGCCGCTGAGGCGGAGGAACAGGGGGAGAGGGAGAAGGGGGAGAGGGGGGAAGGGTGGGGTAGAAGGGGAGAAGGGGAGAAGGGGAGAAGGGGAGAAGGGGTGAAGGGGAGAAGGGGAGAAGGGGAGAAGGGGAGAAGGGGAGAAGGGGAGAAGGGGAGAAGGGGTGAAGGGGAGAAGGGGAGAAGGGGAGAAGGGGAGAAGAGGTGGGGAAGGGAAGAAGACGGAAGGCGGTGAGGATGGGGACATGGGGGCAATGCGGTGAGAGACAGAACAAAAGGACACTTCAGGATGGTATAGGGCGGGTGGGAGGAAAGTAATGGATACGGTGCAGACCAGAGCAGAGGGAGGATGTGGGTAAGCAAGACGGGGAGAAGAAGGGGAAGGAGGAGTACCGCACCTGGCGCCGACGGTGAGGTAGAAGGGCGAGTAGTTGTCGATCGTCGCGAACACGGACGGCGACAGCGGCGGCATGCCCTGGTTGCCCGCCGCCAGCGCCGCGAACACCCCCGCCTGCAGGGTTTGCGGAGAGAGACGATGCGCGGGGGAGTACGGATGACGGCAGTGAAATGAGAAACGATAGTGAGGCGCTTTCGACACTCCCATCGATGTAGATTTTGAGCATGGATGTGCACTGGCCTATCTCGGGAAACGCGAGACTGTAGTGTGCGCGGTTCGGGTACGGTGATCGAAGCGCTTAGCGACGTTTCCCATGATCTTTCCTCGCCTCGCCGCACCTTAGCCGCCGTCACGAACGTGACGTCATCAAAGTAGCTCCCGAGCCCGCCGCCCACGGAGATGGAGACCACATCCACGCCGTCCGATACGGCCTGATCGACGGCTGCGTACACGTCACTCATGGCGCCCGAGGCGCCCTCGTACCCCACCAGCTTCCACATCGCCTTGTACATCGCGATGCGCGCGCGCGGCGCGATCCCCGACGCGGCCCCGTACGAGGTTCCGCCGATGCGCACCTGGATTCCCGCGTTGCCCGCTGCGGCGCTGCACGGTTGAGGGCGGGGGGGAGGGGGGAAAGCGGGAGACGAGAAGGGGAGGGGAAGACGGGCGGTAAGAGCAGGAAAGAGGCGGGAGAGGAGTCGCGGAAATGCGAATGAGAACTCTCACAAGGCATGTGCACCAGCGCCTACGCACGCAGGGGCGGCGACAGGGCAGGGTGGCAGCAACACGCAGAGCACACCAGCAGTAACCAGAGCACCCGCCATAGCCAGAGTACCAGCCACACAATGGTAGCAAGGAGCACCAGGAGCCATACGAGCCCACCCGCCATAACCAGAGACCACCCGCCGTACCCGGAGCACCAGGAGCCATGGCCGTTGTTGTCGCGCGGCGACGCGTAATCCGCGGAGAAGTCGATGGGCACGTCCGCCGTCTTGAGCCCCGCACTGTACGTGCGCGCGCCGATCACCTTGCGGTTGCACGCGCCGTTGAAGTCGCTCGTATTCATGCACAGCCCCGACCACCGCGCGGGGATCGGCCCGTAGCCCTGCGGAGCGACAGGGGAGCGGGGAAGCGGCGGAACGGGAGAACGGGAAGAAAATAAGCACAGCAGCAGGCTGCGAAATCTGTAGAATAAACGCCTCCTTACCACACTACATCCTTGTTTCAGTTCGGTACTCACACGCTACTCACACGGTTCAGTTCGGCACGTACCGCGTCGTCGAACGAAGGGTGCTCCGGCCAGATCCCCGAGTCCACCACGCCGATAATCATCCCCTCGCCCGCCTTCTTCTGCCCGCCATTGCTGCCCCAGAGCGTCGCAGGCAGCTCCAGAAACGTCGGCACATGCACTGTCCGCTGCTGCACCAGCCTATCCGGTCGCACCATCGCGACCGCCGCGTGTCGCCGGAGCTTGTGGACCTGCTTCGGCGTCAACCGCGCTCCGAACGCGTTCATCGTGTACGTGTAGCTCCGGAAAATGCGGGAGAGTGGGAGCTTGACGGACTCTGCCACGTCACGGTGCAGCCTTGTCAGAAGGTCCCCGAAGGCCTTCACGCTGCCGAGCCGCACATCGGCGCGCAGTCGGCTGCGCAGGCGCTGCCTCACTCGCCGCATCGCGGCCCCCCCCCGTAGTTTCGATTTGCTCTTGCTGCTGCTGCTGCTGCTGATGCTAGCGCCGGCGACAGTGACAGCGTTTCCCGTGACGCTGCTAGGCGACACAAGGAGGCTGGACGGCTTTAACGACGTCATGTCAAAAACTGACGAGTCGATTCGAGGGGATGAGGGTGACGGCGAGAAGGACGAGGAGGAAGGGGTGGAGGGGGTGACGGAGGGCGAAGTAGCCGGGTAGCCGGCAATTCCGCCGTTGTAATTGAGAACGGCTGGCAGCGCGCGGAGGTAGACGATGTACGACGAGGCGATGGCGTCGCTGTACTTGCGCTCGAGGGACGCGGAGGCGGAGGCGGAGGCGGATGGGGAAGCGGAGGCGGAGGAAGAGGAAGAGGAATTGGATGGGGGGGAGGTTGGTGCGGACGAGGAGGACGAGGAAAGCAGCGACGACGAGGAGTCGTCGGGGGAAGTCAGTCCGTCAGTGCTCAGTCCGCCCGTGTCGTTTAATGAAGTTTCTGAATTGACTCCGTCGCCTGCCCCATCGCTACTGCCACCGCCATTACCACCGTCACCGGCATTACCACCATCACCGCCATTACTGCCATCACCGCCAGCCCCATCTCCCGCGCCACTTGTCCCGTCGACTTGCGCCTTGCCGTCACTTCCGCCGCCACTCCCGGCGTCACCGGCGTCAGTCCCGACGTCAATCCCAGAGTCAGTAACATTATTCCCTGCACCACCGCCTTTCTGGTCAGAGTCTAAGCTCGTCCCAGCCTCTTTCGCCGTCGCATTCTGTTCCAGCAACAACGACTCGTCTGCCTTTGGAGATACAACCGGAGCTGAGGCAGCTTGAGATGAGTTCTCTGCTGCGGCGCGTTGAAACAGAGCCGAGACGAGGAGAGAGACGAAAACGAGGAGGCAAAGAGCGCGGATACTCGATTGCGGTGGCAGCAGCCGTCTGTGGGCTTGACGTTTGGAGCCTTGAATGGCCATGCCGCGACGCGAGTGCGAGGAGGGACAGAAGTTGATGACTGGGAACGCGAGAGTGCGCTGTGAGCGTTATTCAAGCGCCTTAAAGGTACTGGATGCGAGCTAAGCGAGTCATAGTGTATAAAGTGGTAGGTGTGTTATTGCGGACTGAGCGGATTGGCTGGTGCCGGGGGGGAGGGGGGGACAAGTTAAGCGTCGATCGGATTGTCAAATTCGAGAGTGTTCTAGAGCAAAACGAAGGAGTAGGGTTCGGGTGATCCGGATTTGTGTAAAGTTAACGGAAACGAAGTATGGGCGTACTTCGGCAGTAGTTTTACGCAAATGGCGCGATCGTTGATTGTCGTAGTATAAGGCTGTCAGGCCTAGCGGAATTCAAAGTATCGAGAATAACAGCTAGCCGACTACAAGCACAGGCCGACACTCAGGAGAAGGAACTCTCCACTTGACAGCAACAAAAAATAAAGAGAGCGAAGGAAATGGAATTTCACGGAGGTGGGAAAACCGAGCACGAGACCTCAGCTCGCGTTTGCGAGGGTCGCTCAGTGGTCGGCTAGTGGAGAAAAACACCAGGCTGAATACCTGACTTCAGCGAGATGTACGGGACAGGGAATATTGACAGACACACATCCGTCGGCCATGCAACAGGAGACAATCAATGGAGGAGCTTCGTTGATGGGGGGGGACGCAAATGCGTAGGGTGGAAGGGAGGGGAGGGGAGGGGAGAGCCAGGAAGTTGTCGTGTTCGCCAAGCAGCAGCGCTTTCAGAAAACAATGCTTTTCCAATCCGACGGTTGAGGGAGGAGATGGAGAGGAGCAAGGATTGATCCGTACGTACATCGGGATTTGCAGCAGAACTGGCAGGACGACCCTCATGACCGACAAAATGTTTTGCGCCATGTGCGGTGCGGCTGGAGGTGGTGGCGGACGAATGCAGAGGGGGATCGGGTCGCGATAGCGGATCGCGGGAGCGACGCGTACTTGCTCCTGCTCAGAGTACAACCGCCCAGCCTGACAACGTTCCAGCGAGCATTTGCTGCCGAATCAGAAACAAATATGTTGTTCAGCGAGGTAATAACTTCAAAACAAAACGCTACAGCAAAAAAAAACAACCTCTAGTGTTTGTGGATGTGTTACGGGTGCAATGAATCGAAGTAGCGAGAATTGCACTAAGGTGTCAAACGAGTACAAAGATGTGAGCGAAGGCATGAGCGAACATTTATATGCGAAGCATGCAAACGGTAACGCGGTGCGTGCGAGCTAGCTAGTGCTATGCTGGCAGCGAGGCTCGGGCTAGTCCCGAAGCGTAGGCCGACACGGCCTGGCCAGCAGTGCGAGGTTTGGTGAAACAGTGCGCGCGAAGTCGGCGAAGTTCCGTTAGCAGTAACGGGCGAACAACGGCTGTTGCTGTACGCGATGTAGTCGGGCTCCGTAAGGAATGCCGAGAAAATTCCTTACACTTCCCCCCCCCCTCAAGAAGCCCCCTCCGCTAAGCGAGTGCGTGTATGTCGCGGAATCCCCGGCTCCTCAGGTACACTTGCAGGGCAGGGTGGTTTTCAATGTTGGCCAGGGGCACCCAGCTATCCTCAGTTGGCGTGCGGTCCTTCCAGCGAACGAGGAATTCAATCCTCCTGATTCCCGTGGGGTGTCGAATCCGATGGCTCAGGATTTTTTCGGGCTCGATGATCGGCTCCGATGTAGGGCGAGTCATGGATGGCGGGCGGTGGCGAGGCAATTGGCTTGTGGTTGGGATGTATGGGCGAAGCAAGCTGACGTGGAACGAAGGGCTGATGTACCAGTCGGTCGATAACAGTAGGTGCGCGGTTACTGGCGTGATCATGTGGCTGATTTGGAATGGGCCACAGTAGCGCGGTCGCAGTTTTGGTACGTCGGGCAGTCGCAGGTTTTGCGTGTCGAGCAGTACGTAATCCCCTGACTGGTAGGTGACGGGTCGGCGGTGGCGGTCAGCGTTGCGCTTAGCGATGACATTGCTTTTTTAATTGCTTCTGCAGCTCTGGTGCGGGCAGCTTGCAGAATTTCGGCGAATTGTTGTGCACGTGGTGTCGGATTGTCCGGACTCGGCGTCATGGGCACTGTAGGATTTTGCCCGTAGTTCAGGTAGAAGGGGGACTGCTGCGTCGTCGCTGACATGGCGTTGTTGTACGCGAACTCGATCAGCGGCAGCTGCTGTTCCCAAGTCGTGGGGTCGTCGCACGTGGCACGAATCAACTGCTCCATCGTCTGATTCGTCCGCTCCGTTTGGCCGTCGGTCTCGGGGTGGTACGACGAACTGAACTGTAGCCTGGTCCCGAACTGCTCCCAGAGGTTTTTCCAGAAGTTGCTGGTAAACTTCGTGTCCCTGTCGCTGATAATCGCTGCTTGTATCCCGTGCAGGCGAACAACGGCTGCGATGAACAGACGAGCGGTCTCCTCGGCTGAGATCGACCTTTTGCACGCAGCGAAGTGTGCCATCTTCGTCAGCCTGTCAACGACGACCATCACCGCGTCGTTACCCCCAGGGTTCGAAGGTAACCCTGTGACGAAGTCCATGGTAACCTGCTACCAGGCGCGCTCGGGCGGTGGTATCGGCTGCAATTGACCCGCCTTCCGCTTCCTCGAGCTCTTCATCACCTGACACGTGGGGCACGAGCCCACGTGCTGCTGTACGTCGGTCAACAGCTCCGGCAGTAATAATACCGCTGCAGTTGCTGTCGCGTTTTTTCTACCCCAAAGTGTCCCGAGGTAATTCCGTCGTGTGCCTCCTGCAGTAGCAGCTCCCTCAGTAGTGAGTACGCAGGTACCCAGATGCGGTTGGTGCCTGTTTTTACATAATAAACTCCTTTAGCTTCTGCCAGTTGTTGTGAGTTTCCAGTCGTGAAAAATGGGTCGGTGCGGTATCCATGGGTGAATAGGCCTGTTAACAGCGGGTTGGTCTGGGCGAGTAGGATGGCGTGGAGTTGGGCGGTAGGGCGGGTGAGTGCGTCGGCGATGTTGGATGCGCCTTTCTTGTACGTAACCGTGTAGTGGAAGTTGGACTCGAGGTAGTCCAGCCAGCGAATTTGTCGCGGATTGAGATTTGGTTGGGCGCGTAAGTACTGAAGTGATCGGTGGTCTGTCCGTACTGTCACGTCGGCGCCAGTCAGGTAACACCGCCAAACCTTGAACGCGTGCACGATCGCCAACATTTCGCGGTCGTGTATCGGGTAGTTGCGTTCGGGAGGGTGCAGTTTGCGGGACTCGTACGCGATTGGCTGGAGGCCGTTCCCGAAATCCTGCAACAGTACTGCTCCCACAGCGATGTCACTTGCGTCAGTGACGAGCTCGAACGGACGGTGTGGATCTGCGATGTGAAGCACGGGCGGTGAGCACAAAATGTTTTTGAGGGCCGAGAAGGCAGCTTGCTCTTTCTCCCCCCACGTGTACTCAACCCCCTTCCTCAGCAGGTCAGTCAACGGGGCAGTCAGCTTCGCCATGTCGGGGACGAACCGGCGCACGTAGTTGACGAACCCCAGAAAACTCTGCAACTCTGTCAAGTTGGTCGGCGCGTGCCAAGCCTGAATCGTCGCAATTTTCTTCGGGTCTATTTCCACTCCTACGGCTGAAATAACGTGTCCCAAAAACTCCAGACGGTCCTGTAAAAATTCACACTTAGGCGCTTTTGTCAGTAGGCGGTTCTCACTCAGTATTTTAAAAACTGCTTCGATGTCCTGTAAGTGCTGTGCTCTGTCAGGGCTGTAAATCAGTATGTCGTCCAGGTATACTATGACGCACTTATCTAAGAGTGGGCGGAAAGTTTCGTTCATGGTCATTTGGAAAGTGGCGGGGGCGTTGGTCAGTCCGAAGGGCATGACGGTGTATTCGAAGGATCCGTAGCGTGTTCGGAATGCGGTTTTAGGGCAGTCGGGCGGATTGACACGAATCTGATGGTAACCCCCCCGGAGGTCGATTTTCGAGAAAACCCGGGCTGTGCGCAGTTGGTCGATCAGTTCGTCGGCTCGTGGGATGGGGTAACGGGATTTGATGGTAACCCTGTTCAGTGCTCTGTAATCGATGCACATGCGAAATCCCCCGTCTTTTTTCGGTGTAAACAGTATCGGTGCTGCGAAAGGCGACGAACTAGGGCGAATGAACTCCTTCTCGAGCAGGTAATCGAGCTGCTTCCTCAGTTCGTCCAGTTCGGGCTGGGTCAGTCGGAACTGTCGCTGTACTGTTGGCTGTGCCCCCGGTTCCAATTCTATTCTGTGATCGTGCGGTCGCTGAGGTGGCAGTCCCGTCGGTAAGTCGTCGGGGAAAATGTCGCTGTACTGCTTCAACAGTACTGCCAGGTCACTCGGTACGTCGGTCAGCAGTTTCTGCAAATCCCCTCCCTTGTCCGCTGCCTCGGCTTCCCGAATGTCGACCGCGTACACGTCAGCTCCCGCCGCTACGGCGCGTTTCATCGTGATCGCGTTGACACGCACCGACGAAGACTCAGGCGAGCCCCAGCGAGGTAGGGCGATGTGGTTACCGTTCACTCGCACGGTGCAGTCACCCGTCGTCCAGTCGATTCGCGGATTGTGTCGTCGCAACCAATCACGCCCGAGTAAAATATCGGTTCCGTCGAGGGTCGTTGCGAGCATTTCTTGGCTAAATGTGAAGTTACCCCCGCATCGAATCCGAACCCGGTCTACGCGTTCCCGTATTGCCAGCGGCGTGCCGTCTACTAGTCGTGCGTCGATCTCAGGTAAACATCTGTCCAGTGGCAGTCGCAGTTTTCGTGCTGTAGCAGTGTTGATGAGGCTGTGGCTGGCTCCCCCGTCTACGAAGATTTTAACTAAGTCCGTCCCGATTTTCCCACTAAGCAGTATAGGGCTGTCTACCGTAGTACCCTCCTTATTCGGCCGGGTGTGGTCGATTGCGTGAACCGGCACAATCACTCGGTGAGGGTCGGTTGGGTCGGGCGAGCGGCGTGACCTGTCAGTAGAGGGCCCGTCTGCTACTGACTCCCAGCGTTTCCCTGCTGCTTGGTCTGTTTCTGCTGCTCAGCTTCCCCCTTTCCCTTAGCGTTTTCCGGGCATTCGCTCTTGCGGTGTCCCGGCCGATTACACGCGAAGCAGCGCCCTTTGAACGGTGCGGCAGCGGCATTCGCGGCGACGGCACGTATCGTAGCGCCCTCATTCGTCCCACGAGACCGATGTCCCCAGTTGCTGCTACTGCCGTAGGACCCCGGTCTCGGTCGGCGGAAGAAGTCGAGCTTCTCCGCCATAGCGAGAATCTCCTGAAAATCGGTGACGCCGCGAAGTTGAATTTCTTGAGCGATGTCGTGCTTCAGGCCGCCAATGTAGCGGTCGATGCGCTCGCTCTCATGCATGTAGCCCACTTGCTCGCATAGCGCCAGAAACCCGCTGGTGTAGTCCTGGACGGAACCGAGTTGGCGCCAAGTGCAGAGCTTCTGTCGCGCCGCGATCGAAGCCGCAATTGGCTCAAATCGAGCGCGCAGACCTGCGCACCACGCGTCCCACGTGCGATATTGGGGCACCTCCACGAAATACGACGGCGCCTAGGGTCCGGTTTGTCCTTCCCGTGTCGGTAGAGTCGCGTAGTCATTCGGTTTCGTTACGATGACGCGCCACCAGTCCATGGCGGGTCCTCGCAGCAGCGACACGGCGTAGCGAATTTTCGCCGAATCCTCCGAGACGTAGTTGGCGTCGAAAAACACGTTCATCGTGAACAACCACGCCTGAATGGTAGGACCACCCCGTTGACTCGGGTCAAAGCATGGCGGACGCTGCGGCTTCAGCGGCATCGGTGACGGCAGTCCCGAATCGTGGGTCGGTGCCGAAATCGTGACGCGAGGTTGACTTGGGGCCGCATTCGTCGCTCCGGGGTGTGTCGTGCCGTGGTCGTCGTCTCCGTCGGGGCGGACGACGCCATCACTGGCCGCGCTCGCGGGTTGCCCCACACTTCCGTGCTGTGATGTCTGTGGTGCGGGCTGAATCGGAGTGCCAGGTGCTTGGGATTGTGCCCTTGTGAGGTCGTTTTGCAGGGACGAGCGTTCTGCCGTCAGCGTCGCAATTTCCTCGGCGCTCTCGCGGATTTGTCGCAGCAGATCGTTCAAATGCTCCTGCGTGAGAGTCGTGACGTCGATGTGTTCGGCCATTTCGAAGGACGTCGGCTCGTCTTAGTCTAGGCGCAGTCGTGGCTGCACGCGTTTACGAGAGAACGCGAGGACAGCGGCTCCTAGGTGCTAAGATACGTAAGTCCCTTCGAGTGAAAAATCAAAAGTTGATTTCCTGGGGTGCGGAGATGCGCGGTCCGAAAGAAAGGGGCTCTGATACCAAGTGTTACGGGTGCAATGAATCGAAGTAGCGAGAATTGCACTAAGGTGTCAAACGAGTACAAAGATGTGAGCGAAGGCATGAGCGAACATTTATATGCGAAGCATGCAAACGTTAACGCGGTGCGTGCGAGGTAGCTAATGCTATGCTGGCAGCGAGGCTCGGGCTAGTCCCGAAGCGTAGGCCGCCCGGGCCAGCAGTGCGAGGTTTGGTGAAACAGTGCGCGCGAAGTCGGCGAAGTTCCGTTAGCAGTAATGGGCGAACAACGGCTGTTGCTGTACGCGATGTAGTCGGGCTCCGTAAGGAATGCCGAGAAAATTCCTTACAGGATGTCACATCAACCCACCCTGCATTAACTTCAACACAATGAATCTGATTTAATGATGCACTCAGGCTACCTAGAATAAGTGCTTAGGGAGAACGGTACAGAGCGCGCAATTCTCAATGTGCCTTTTTCTCTTTTGAAGAAGGGCCTGCTGGTGGAGCGGCAGTTGCTGCAGCAGCTTGCATCTCAAAATGCCGCTTGAACGCACGAGGCAGGAACACTGGGAGCAAGAACCCAAACAAGTTCAGGCTCCAGTACACGAGATTGGCCACCGCCAAATACCTACCAAACATCTGCCAATACCCCCCACCAATTAATGCCCTCCTGATAACCACACCACTGCTGGCAACAGCTGGGCCCGCTCCATGGTATAGATCACCCACTGAAGGTGTCCTTGCTCCACTGCTCACGCCATCAGCAGACTGAGAAACAGCGGTTGATGTGGCGGCTGCAACCACCTGAAGGAGGCGGCGATTCCACTCGGCCAGCAGAGAAAGGCGATGCCAGTTGTACCTGCCATCTCAAAGCGGCTCAGATCAGCGGCGAGCAACAGGGAAACCAGCGTAAGGGGTTTTTGTGAATAAAACTTACATGATTGGGATGAGGGCACGAACTGGGAGGGAAACATATGTGAGATCAACGATGATATTCTCTGTGAGCACTTGACAGGAGAGCAGGAAGAGGTGAGGGGTCACGCACTCCACTGCCATATGGTCATTCTTGGCAAACCCTGCAGACACAGCACATGAACATCAGCTGTTGGCACTTGTGAGAAATCAGCATGCTGGAGAAAGGGGGTTGAACTGAGCAGATCGTTAAATAATTACCTCCTAGAACGTAGGAAAGTGGCAGGAACATCCCAATCACAGCCCCAGCAGTCACATGTACTTTAAACAGCCTGCTGCCACTGAAGACCTTAGGGGGGGCTGAGCGGGAAACTGGGGGAAAGGCCCACGTAGCGAGAATGGATGAGTAGATCGTTAGAAACACGACAAAGAAGATCTCTTCTAGGGGCACGAGACCGCTGCTGGTGAAGACGACAATGAACGCCATCATTTGAACCTGCACAAGGGATCACACAGCACCACCATAGTTATGGTCAGAAAAGGAAAGTAAATTAAAGCTTAATAACTAAGCTACAGCCCGACTACCTGTACAAAGCTCAACGACCCCATAAACGAGGTAGCTGCCACCGAATTCATGCTCAACCCTCCCCCATGCTCCTGCGAACCATGGCCATGGTGGTAACCAGCCCCTTCGTGCAGAGCTCCCTGCTGCTGCTGCTGCTGCTGCTGATCGCGCGGCGGCGACTGTTGCGTGTGCTTCTGGGACTTGGGGCTCATGGAGTGAAGCGGAGCCTCCCAGCTGCCTGACCCCACAGGGGAGCGCCGTCGGCGGGTGCTGCCTCCGCCGCTGCTGCGACGGCTGCGCGGACTCTCGTCGTCGTAAGATGTCCCCACCGGAGGCACGCTCACGGGCCATCCCCTCCAGTACGGCTCGGATGTGATCACGTCTGCGGCTAGAGATGCTCCCGACATGGCGGCCCTAGAGTGCGGATGGAAGTGTCTGGGGTGAAAATGAACAGAAAGATCCGCGACGAAAAGATAAACCTTGATGCTGTCAGCTGAGGCTGAAAAGAGGGACGGAGCTGCTGCTACGACAGGGCTGGGTACGACTGGTCGATCGTGATTTCTGCATAGTGGAGTAGCGATGCGGAACCCTCGGAATTCGAAAGGAATGCACGAGCATGAGATGAGGATTATGTGCGAATGAAGTGCGCGCGAGTTTGTCCAGAGGTCGAAGCGCGGAACACGCCATTTCGAAGGCAAGCCACGAGCGCCTTAGGTGTCGAGGACACGTGTCGCGTTCCTGCGAGATTCGTGAGTAAGCTACGAGGCATGCGTCTGCTTTGTCCTGAAGTGCTTCGCAGAATCTCACATTCAAAATGTCGAGTAAAAATCCATAAATGTGTAACGAGTGTGGATTCGCTATTGTTTGCATTTGGTAGTAGTAACTTGATCAAAGTTACCGGTTTACAAAGCTTCGCAAAAGTCGGCAGTCAGGGGGTGACAAATCTCGATGTCGAGGAGGCTTTACAGACGTGGCCCCATGTATACCGTCGATCGCCCCTGTCGGAATTATCTAGAGGGTTTGAGCTAGAGCGCCAATGAGCCTCGAAATGTGCGAAGGCCTCGTCACCTGACACGCTGCCCTTATCACACTCAGCCCTTTCAATCCACACGCCACGTCATGCTGACAGCACTCGCGTCCTCAATTTCTTGTGTTGGTTCCTCTTCTGTCAACCTGTGCCTTCGACAACGACGCGGTGTTCCACGTGTTCAATTTCCAAACCACGTGCCACGGTGATGTTGGGTGGGCTCTGGTCCGGAGCGGTGTATAATTATTAACGTCTAACTCCCTGCGAAAGCCTACTGAAACGCACTGAAACACCGCAGTATCCCCGCTAAACATCCCCTCTCGACTTTCACCTTCCCTGGCCTACTTCGATTCCTCCCGCCAAAACGCCCAGTCCAATCTCGAGCTTGTCGGCCTTCACTCGAAGCTTGATTACACCCGACCCGAGCCATCTCACCACCTCATTTCCAAGAACTGAATCCTGAGCAAGCACTGACAAGAACAGACCATCAGCCTCGTTCCGTTAGCGTCTGATCGAGGCGTTCTTGCTTGGAGTTGCTTGGTCGTCTTCTGCCTCGAGAGTCTGGACTGAAGACCCTGAAGTTCCTTCGCTAACCGGTCGTAGGCCAAGCTTCGCCATGGCTCTCTTGCTCAAGCCCCCCTTGAATCCAGGCGCGTCAGCGTTCCTTTCACGAGGCCAGCGGAAGAGATTCGTAGCCAGGACTCCCGCCTTACCGCTTCGCGCTTCCATCAGAGCGGAAGCGGACCGTTCCGCAGCAAGGGAGCCTGTGGAAGGCGAGACTGCCAAGTTGACCAGGTACGGCCTTACGTCTAGGGTGCGAGACACCGAACAGTGTCAGTGGAAACGTCTTGTGAAGCATAACTAGCTGGAAGGTCTAGTTTAGCGTCTGGCAGTTTCTTCAAGTTGATCACCCTCTCTTCCGTTTTCCCTCTTCGTCCTCACTATTTCACCAGCTTGGTTGTTACGGAGACTCCCGACGTCGTCGCCGCCTCCAACTCTCCTCGTTCGCTCTTCGCCGTGGCGGCTCAGCATTGCGCCATCCTCCTCGCGGCTGGCGCGCTCGTCATGTCGCCGGCTCTCGTGGCGGACGCCGCGCAAAGCGGCGGTCGCGTGGGTGGTCAGTCGTTCCAAAGGTCTCGCGCCGCTCCTCCTCCGCCTCGTCAGCGCACACAGATTAGAAGCAAGTGAGTTCCTCAAGACATTCTCCTTGCCGCTAAAAAGAAAAGAAAATCTAATAATGAAGCAAGGGAGAATACGGAGAGTGTACCTATCGCACACCTCAACTGTGTCGAGAAACAGAGAGGGCTCAGCAGAGTCAAGAGAGACAAAGGGGAACCGGCCAGGGAAAGGGCGAAAGGAGCATCGTCAGTCGAATCTCATAGCCCACAAATACATCCCCTTAGGGTGCATGTTCGACAGGCTCCTGTCCCGCTTCCTGTCAGACTTGCTGCTTTGCTATGAGCGAAGTCAAGTCAAGCATTCAGGCATGCCTCCACCCAGCCTAGCGCTACGCTAATCCTCTCGCTTCATCCCCTGTCTCCCCCTTCATCCTCTCGCAGCACCAACATCTACGTTGCCCCTCCCGTGACTGTGGCACCGCCCATCTATGGAGGAGGGTTCTTCGCTCCTTCACCGTTTTTCGGGGGGTGGGGCTGGTCTCCCTTTACTGTGGTCACTCCGGGTCCCACTGTTGCCGTTGGAGTGGGAGGTGGTGGATTGGGTTTTTTCTTTGATTTCTTCATCTTCTCCATTATTGCTGGTGTCGTGTTTGGCTTTGTGCGGGGTCTGTTCAGAAGGGATGATGACAGGTACTAGGAGAACGTCGTTCATTATTATAGACAGACCGTGTGCACCTGGTTTATTATTGAGTTGCATGTGATTGCGTTGTTGTATACAGCTGGAAATCCCCCACGAATTGCACTGTAAAAAGCCTCTAGAAACATGCTGGGAGTAAGGCGAGCTTGTGTCAGTGATACAGTACTATCACATCACACCATACATCTGACAGTGCAAGATGAATGGCATGCAGTCAGTTTGAATATTGACTGAGTGATGTAATAAGAAACTACTGCATTATATAGTAAGCAAGTGCATATCAATCCACCCTGACAACAGCAACATCAAAACTTTATCAACACAGTAGCACAACCACAATCCACGTAAATCCGGAAACAAAATGATCTCAGACTCTTCAACACATGCTCGAACACCACAGCCTGTTAGCAGGCTGTACAAGGAACTTAAGTTTTCTATAAACTAAGCAAAACATCCTCACCACAACAACCCCATAATGGGGTACTGAGTTAACAGATGAAACACAGGTGGCCAGCTGAGTGCCCTTCACGTCTTTTTCCTCTTGCGAGTGTTGTGTGCAGCAGATGCGGTAGGCTGGGAGTCAGGTTGCAGGGAGGAGAGCGCCCTCTGTGCTGCGTTGATCACCATGTTGTACACCTGGTGGGCATGGATTGAGTGGAAGCACGGGAGGGGAAGGACGATATGTGGAGCTCCTCAGGAGTGGTTTCCTTGCACGCTGTGTTGATCACCATGTTGTGAACCTGGTGGGGATGGATGGAAGCACAGGAGGACAGGGAAAAACAGGGAACGGAAGGGAGGGAAAGGAGATACAAGGCAAGTGTGGGAAGGGGCAGTCAGCAGCAGCACTTCAGTTGAGAGTAGGGAGCAAGGACGGTGCCTTGTTGTCATACTGAGTACTGAGTAAATTCGTGGCAGTGGCACTGTGTAGAAACAGCGAGAGAAGTGTGCTGTGTGCCCTGCGCTTCCACTTCCTGGCTCGAACGAACCAACCCCACATCTCTCCCTCACCCTTTCACCAAATCCCCCATGCTTCATCCCAACCCCACCTCCCCACCTCGCCTGCTGCTCACCCCGAGCTTGTTCTCCTTGGCGCCGTGATCAGAGGACAGCATTCTGATTTTTTCAGGCGCCTCAAAAACCACCTTCCCCTCTTCCCCCCCTCCCCCCGTCCCCCCTCCACTCACCCCGAGCTTGTCCTCCTTGGCGCGGTGATCAGACGGCAGCATTCGGAACTCGTGTGTGAGTGCAACGCAGCTTTTGAGCCGACTCAAAAGCAGACTCAAAAGCACCTCCCCCACCTCCCACCTCCCCCCTCCACTCACCCCGAGCTTGTCCTCCTTGGCGCGGTGATCAGAGGGCAGCATTCGGAACTCGTGTGTGAGTGCAACGCACTCTGACATGCTCTCAGGCGACACAAAGTCTACTGCCACCTTCATGCACGACTGGGAGGAGTGCAGGGGGGGGGAGGGGGGGAGTCTGATTTTGAGGCTCGTGAGTGAGTGCAACGCACTCTGACACACTCTCAGGCGACACAAAGTCCACAGCCACCTTCATGCATGACTGGGGAAGCACAGAAGGGAGGGAGGGGAACGGCAAGGAGGAAAAGGTGAAGGAAAAGGGTTCAAAGGGCCGGGGACACAAGTCCACGGCCAGATTCATGCATGGCTGTGGGCGTGCAGAGGAGGGGGGGGGGAGGAGAAGGGGGGGGGAGGAGAGGATAGGTACGAGCGTGAGAGGAGGGGAGAATACGGAGACTGGTTCCAAGGGAGAATGGCGCGGAGGAGGGCAGGGCCACTGCGAATGTGGTGTGTTGTTTGGAGAGGAGGGACGGGATGGGAAGGGACGGGAGATGAGAGGGGATGCATGAGGTGGGGACATTCGACATGCACACTCGCTCACTGGTGCCATTCGCACACGGTTTGTTGGAACCTTGTGCGAACACACGCGTATCAGAAAGCAGAGAGGGATAACACGACGGGCAGCAAGAAGGTACCTGGAGGTTTCTGACTTGATGCGGGCAACCAGCCGGCACGAGCACTGCGTCGCCTCTCTGCTGCTGGAACGTCCATGCTTGCACTCCTGGGGAGGAGCAGAGATGACAGGTGAAGCATGGATACGTTGGAAGGACGGAGAATATTCGTACAGCAGAAAAGCAGAAGAAGAAGAAGCAAAAAAGGAAATGCTTTTTTAGGAGGCCAGAGTGAGAAAAGGATGGAGAAGTCTCAACACGATTCAACTCTATTCAGGGCTTGAGGCGTCTCGAAATTGCTCTAAGACGGCGTGCATGCAGCAGCTCAGCTCACCGTATTGCTCTTGCAGCTGGCGCTTGTGATGGTTGGAGAGATACACGGTCTGGTCGTGAACCTCATGCTCTAGCTGCAGAGGGGAAGAGCGAGAGGGAGAGGGAGAGGAAGAGCGAGTGGGAGGGCATTTGAGACGCCTCAAAAGTTTTTCAGCTGGCGCTTGTGATGGTTGGAGAGATACACGGTTTGGTCGTGAACCTCATGCTCTAGCTGCAGAGGGGAGGAGAGATATGCAGAGGAAGGGGGGGGGCGAGAGGGAGGGCGAGGGTGAAAGAGGGAACAGGAGAGTGAGTTCACCCGTGCCGACCAAGGAACGAGGTGACTTTTGAGTCGACTCAAAAGTCACCTCGAGCTCAACCATGCTGACCAAGGAACGTGCTTTTGAGGCGCTTCAAGAGGGATAGTGAGTTCGGTCGTGCTGCTGACCAAGGAACGTGCCTTTCAGATGCAGAAAGCTCACAAACCAAATGTCAAGCAATCCGCAAGAAAGCAGACAAGAGGAGGCATTGTGGGTGGGGTGGAAAGGAAACGAAAGGAGAAGAGGAGAAGGAGCGTGCGTACACAAGGAGTGGACCCAACCGCAGGATGTACAGAAATGAAAGGCTTTTTTCTTCTTCTTCCTCGACTTTCCTTTTTTTCAACACATCAGCAATTGAACTCAGGTGTGTTGTTCAGCGTACCGAGGATAGAGGCTTGTTGTGGAGGTGGGTGAACTCATGCTTGTGCTCTCGAATGTATTGCCTCAACAGGCCCACGTCCTCCCGCCGGAATATATCCCACAGCGCCCCTCCCCTCTCGTTGAACCACGCCCCTTCCCTCTCCTCCTCATCCTCCTCCACCTCCTCCTCTTCTTCCTCTTCCTCTTCCTTCTCCGATTTACCGTTCTCCTTTTCTTTCACCTCCTTCTGCTTCTGAAACCCCTTGTTATCAACGCCAGTCACAGCCGCACCAGCAGCAAGAACAGGTGGGACTTTCACATCACCTCCCGTCACTGCCAAAGGCTTGGATGGTGTGGCATGGAGAGGAGAAGCAGGAGCAGCAGCAGATGGAGATGGGTGCTGAGGGAAAGCAGAATGCAGAAGGCACAGCGCATCACCAAGATTTATCTCCTTCTCCTTGTCCTTCTTCTCCTTCTCCCCCTCCTCCTTCTCCTTCCCCCCCTCCTCCTCCTCCTTCTCCTTTTCCTTCTCCTTCTCCTCCTTCTCCTTTCCCTTGCCCTTCTCCTTCTCCTCCTCCTTTTCCTCCTGCTTTTCCTCCACCTCTTCCTTCCCCTTCCCCGTCTCCTTCTCCTTCTCCTTCCTCTCCTTCTCCTTCCTCTCCTTCCCTACCATTCTCCTCTCACTCCCCCTCTCTCCTCCCTTCGCCCTAACCTTCTCCACCTCCTCTCGCACCCGCCGCACGAGCTTCTCTTGAAAGGGCTTCAGAGGCACCTCCTGGCAGTGGGTCATCACGTTCACCTGGACACACATGGGGGGGGAAGAAGAGGAGGAAAGAAAGTACTGGAGGCATGAGCTGGGATGCGAGGGGGGAAATGGACACAAGGTATGGCCATGCACACTCCCATCCCAGCTCATGACCCAACACCACACACAATCCCATGTGCATGTGCACTCGCGGAACCGCACGCACGCACGCACGCGCACGCACGCACGCACGCACGCACGCACGCACGCACGCACGCACGCACACGCACGCACACACACACACACACACACACACACACACACACACACACACACACACACACACACACACACACACACACACACACACACAGACAGACCACACCTACACACACAGACATCCCCACCCACACTCACCCACCCCCAACCCCACCCACACCCACACCCCCACTCACCGCATCAGACATATCGCAGTGCAGCTTCGTGACCGAGTCCCCCGCGCCCAGCTCCCCCCTCACCCCATACGCGATATACGTCTTGGGCCCCAGGTCCGGCCATGCCCCACTCCAACCTCGCATTTCAATGATCATGCCCCCACACCACACACAATCACAAGCGTGCACGCACACACGAACGCATGCATGCACGCGCGCACAAGCACACACAAACAGACACACCTACGGCCACACCCACACCCACCCACCAACCCATTCACTCACCGCATCAGACATATCGCAGTGCAGCTTCGTGACCGAGTCCCCCGCGCCCAGCTCGCCCCTCACGCCATACGCGATATACGTCTTGGGCCCCAGGTCCGGCCGCAAACTCCCCTTAGGCGCCGCAGCCGTCGCAGCCACATTCGTGTCGCCCTCCTCGGGATGCAGGTAGGCATGGAAGGGGAGCGCGTTGATGAACTCAGAGCCGTGGCGGGGCAGGCGCACGTGGAAGAAGGACGCGGGCGGCCAGTCCTTGAGCTTCAGCAGCTCCGGCCAGCAGGACGAGTGCATGCGCCCCGACCAGTAGCCCTCAAAGAACTGCCGCGTGTTGATCTCCACCTGAGGGAAGGGGGGGGGGGTGAGTGGAAATTTAGGAAGAGAAGGATGGAGGGCCAGGGGAAGGAAGGAGGGAGGGAGGACTTTTGAGACGTCGCAGGAGCTGTGCATGCAGCCCGACCAGTAGCCCTCGAAGAACTGCCGCGTGTTGATCTCCACCTGAGGGTGGGGGGAAGCGGGAGGGGTGGAAGGAAGAAGGGAAGGGGGGATTTTGAGACGTCTCACCTTGAGCCAGTCAAGGCAGTCAAGCATCAGTCAAGCCCCATTCAAGCCCCAGTCAAGCCCCAGTCAAGCCCCAGTCAATCATCGAGCTGACTCAGCCGTGCCTGCGTCTCACCTCAAGCCAGTCAAGGCAGTCAATGGCGACAACGGTGGTCTTCTCACTCATCTGCGCCCCAGGCGTCGTCTCTCTAAACGCCCTCCACATAACCAGAGGCTCCCAACTGAGCCCATGCCTCAGATCCAACACCTGCCGTACCACCACCGGCTCTCCACGCTCCCAGTGCCTCTGAAAATGCGCCACCAACTTTGCCTCATCGCGCCCCTCCTCTTCCTCCTCCTCCTTCTTCTCCTCTTTTCCAGCTTCTTCTCTTCCCGCATTTCCCTGTTTTTTCTTTTCCCCCTCTCCCTCCTCTGCTTCTGTCCTCGGCCAAGGCAGGGTCGGGCAGAAGAGGAAATTGTCGGAGCTGCCCGGGCGGCAGGAGGCCCAGAGGAGGCTGTTGGCGTGGCAATCGCGGTTGAGAGCGGTTTTGAAGTGTTTGAAGAGGTTGAGGGCTTTGGGGAAGGACAGGTCCAGCCAGTGGGAGAGATGTGAAGAGGAGGTATCAGGGGGAGAATCACCAGGAGCAGCAGCAGGAGCAGGAGGAGGGGCAGTGGCAGTGGCAGAATCAACAAGAGAAGTATTAGGAGCAGGAGGAGGAGGACCAGTAGCACCATCAGCAGGAGTAGCAGCAGGGGCAGCAACACCATCAACAGGAGCAGCAGCAGCAGCAGCAGGAGCAACAGCAGGGGCAGCAGCAGGGGCAGCAGCAGGGGCAGCAGCAGCATCAGAAGCAGCATCAGCAGGAGCAGCAGCAGGGGCAGCAGCAGCATCAGCAGGAGCAGCAGCAGGGGCAGCAGCAGGGGCAGCAGCAGGGGCAGCAGCAGCATCAGCAGCAGCATCAGCAGGAGCAGCAGCAGGGGCAGCAGCAGCATCAGCAGGAGCAGCAGCAGCAGCATCAACAGCAGCATCAGCATCAGCATCAGCATCAGCATCAGCAGCAGCAGCAGCATCAGCAGCAACGGACGGTTTGCTGCTACTGCAGCCCTTCTCCTCCTCGACCAAATCAACCTCCCCTTCTCGCTGCTTCTGCTCATCCTGGTCCTCCTCCCCCTTGACCTTCCCTGCTTCCTCCCTACCATTCCCATCCTCCTCACATGCTATCACCCTCTCGTTCCGCTTGCGCTGTAAATCACTCCACACAGAAGCAAGAGCCAGCATGAGTCGGTGCATGTGTGAGGATTTATCCTCGCACACCCTACACCCCTTCCCCGCACTGCTTGCTACATCCATGCTTGCCTTACCCTCTACTACTGCTTCTTTCGCCCTGCCTACCTCCACTCCTCCTTTCTCCTCTTCTTTCGTCTCTAACACACCTCCCTTTTCCCCCTGAACCTTTTCCCCCTGACCCTTTTCCCCCTCTCCCTTTTCCCCCTCTCCCTTTTCCCCGTGTCCCTTTTTCCCGTCTCCCTTTCCCCCCTCTCCCTTCTCCCCTTCTCCTTTCTTCCCCTTTCCCTTTCTCCCCACTTCCGTTTTCCCCTCTCCCTTTTCCACTTCTCCTTTCTTCCCCTCTCCCTTCTCCCCCATTTCCTTTTCCCCCATTCCCTTTTCCCCCTCTTCCTTCTCCCCCATTTCCTTTTGTCTTTCTCCCTTTTCCCCCTCTCCGTTTTCCCCCTCTCCCTTTTCCCCTTCTCCCTTTTCCCCCTCTCCCTTTTCCCCCTCTCCCTTCTCCCCTTCTCCTTTCTTCCCCTCTCCCTTTCCCCCCTCTCCACTTTCCCCCTCTCCCTTTTCCCCTTCTCCCTTTTCCCCCTCTCCTTTCTCCACCTCTCCCTTCTCCCCTTCTCCTTTCTTCCCCTCTCCCTTCTCCCCTTCTCCTTTCTTCCCCTCTCCCTTTACCCCCTCTCCCCCATCACCCCCCACATGCTGCTCACACTGATGAAGGAGCCCCTCCAGCCACCCGCGGCCCCTCACACTGCACAGCACCAGCCTATTCTTGCTCTCCCACTGCTCTTCCTGCTTGATCTCCTCCATCTTCCCTTCCACTTTCCCTACCACCTTTTCTTCCACCTTTCCACCAGCTTCCTTGCCCACCTCCTTCTCACCCATCTTCCCTTCCACCTTCTCACTCGCGACACCCTCCACTTCCATAGCATCTGCGACCGAAACACCATCCCCATCCACCCGACCCCCCTCCTCTCCATCCCCTCTCTCCGGCTTGCCCTTCTTCCCTTCCTCACGTGCCTTCTCCCCGTTCTTCCCTCCCTCCTCCCCACACTCCTTCCTTTCCTCGTTACCCTCCCCCCTGCCTCCATCCACCACTCTGCAGCGCACAGAAGGGCATCGAATCGCCCCCGAAGCATCAGCAACCCAAGGAACTCTCACCCCATTCGCCTTCCTACCGCCTCCATCCCTTCCATCCCCACCATCCCCACCATCAGCATCAACAGCAGCATCAACCGCACCAGCACCACCTTTTTCCTCTAATTCCGCAGACAATCCCAGCTCTTTCATCAGCATGCTCGCAACAGATCCTCCATTAGTCGACCAACTCCCACCACCACTGCCAGCCTTCCTTTTCTTGCCCGCCTTTCCTAACCCCGAAGAACCCTTCCTTTTCTTGCCTTTCACCCCTCCTTTTCCCCCTCCTCCTTCAGTTTCAACCTCATCATCTCTTCCCTCCTTCTCTCCTCTCCCTTCTTCCTCTCCCTCCTCCTCCCCATCTCCTCCCTCAGACTCTTCAGAAAACACCTCTCCTGGGGGTACCTTCCCCGCCCGCAAATCTCTGCAGCAGGAAAGGCAGAGGTCAAAATCACAGTCCTTGTCCGGGCAGCTGCGGAAAAGGTCAATGATGGATGTCTGGCAGTGTGAACTGTTGTGGGCAGGTGCAGGAAAAATTCGTGGGGCAGGAAAGAAATAAAAAAAAAAACAAGAGGAGGAAGACCAGAGAAAGAACAAGTGGCTTCTGGGAAAAGTGAAGAAAAAGAAAATTACAGAGAGAGTAGAACCAGAAGGACACAGAAGAGGAAGCAAGAAGAGACATGCAGAAATTGGAGTAACTTTAGTGAGAGCATTGGCATATGAACATGAGGGCAGTCGCGAAAGACGAAAGAAGGGCGTTGCCTATGGGGTTTAGAAGAAAAGAACAACTGCAATCTTATGGATTCAGTTCAGGGAGTCTTATGGTGCAATCTTATGGTGCTGACCAGAAGATGCGCTCGTCTACTGCAATCTTCACACGCTGGATATCCACTTCTGAGACAGAGAGACACACACACACGCACGCACGCACACACGCACACACGCAAACACGCACACACGCAAACACGCATGCACGCATGCATGCACACACGCAAACACGCACACACGCACGCACACACGCATACGCACACATGCACACACACGCATGCATCACGCACAATGCGACACAACACACACCACACAACACGCGCACACAACAAACGCCCGCAAGGCCATGCATGCAGAGCAGATCGATGCGTCTATGACATGACATGACATGACATGACATGACATGACATGACATGACATGACAGTACTTCTGAGCAGGTAAAGCCGTGCACACGCAACACAACGCCACACAACGCGCGCACAACGATTGTCCGCAAGGCCACACATGCCGTGCAGATAGATGCGTGTATGACATAACACAACAATACTTCCATCCCTTCCCCCCAGCCACCCCACACGCACAAACACACCTAGCCGCCCCCACATGACTGATACATCCTAACCCACCCGCCCTGACCTGAGCTGTTGCTTCCATACTCGTCTGCTCCTCCTCCTCTTGCTGCTGCTGCTGCTGCTGCTGCTGCTGCTGCTGCTGCTGCTGCTGCTGCTGCTGCTGCTGCTGCTGCTGCTGCTGCTGCTGCTGCTGCTGCTGCTGCTGCTGCTGCTGCTGCTGCTGCTGCTGCTGCTGTGCATACATGCCCCCTCCCTTCCCCACTCCGCCCCAGCTACTCCCTCAACCCCCTTCATGTGATTGCGTTGCATCCTACCTTTCGGGTCTTTGCCCTGGAGTGCAGCTTCTAGCCTCGTCTCCTCCTCCTGCTGCTGCACCAGATCGGCCAGCAAGGGAGTCACATAGCGCAGCACTCGGCACGCCATGCCCGCTCGCTCTTCTGCCGATGCCCCTGCCGACCGCTGGTGGCGGGGAGAGAGGAGGGAATGGGTGAAGGAAATAGGGCGGAAAGGGGAAAGAGAGGACGAGAGAGGGGCATGGGAGATCAGTGACAGGATAGCATGGTAGTAGGACATGGAATGGCATTGACATAGTTGATTGCTCTTTCGTCAGTCGAACAAAAAAGGAATGGCATGGGGGGGATGGCAGGACAGACAGGCAGGGAACTGACATACGGTGCAGGGATGCAGGCAGGTTTTCAGGGATATGTCTTGCAGTTCTAGCACCTGCCAGGAAAGTCTAGTTTTGAGGCGCCTCAAAACTAGACGGTGCAGGGATGCAGGTTTCCAGGGATATGTCTTGCAGTTCTAGCACCTGCCAGGAAAGTTGACTAACAACAAAACTATAAGCATGGGGCATGGCAGGGCACTGACATAGGGTGCAGGGATGCGGGTGCGGAGGCAGGTCTTGCAGTTGCAGTTGCCACGGCACTTGGGACAGAAGGCGATTATCTCCTCCACTGTGTACATAGGGTACCTGCTCCCATGCATACATGCATGCATGCATGCACCCGTGCACCCAAGCACCCGTTCACCCATGCACCCATGCATGCATGCATCCAAGCACCCATGCACCCAAGCACCCATGCACCCAAGCACACACCCATGCAACCATGCACCCATACAGCCACACACCCATGCATCCATGCAGTTGGGAACACAAGATGAGCGGAGATTATTTCTGCACGAAGGAGGAGCGGAGGAGGTCAAAGGGAGGAGGACGGAGAGAGGAAGATACAGGGGGGCGATGGAGAGACACTTGGGGTGGGAAAGGGGAGAGGGAGAAAGCTGAAGGCCAAAAGGAGAAAGGCGTGGTGCACGCACAAACAGATAGGAGGGGGAACAACAAGGGGGGGAGCGACAAGGAGGAGGGGTTGAGGGGAAGGGGAAACGAATGGAAGCAAACAAGGCAGGACCGCAACAGAAGAAGGGTCAAAAGCGAGAGAAAGAGAGGGTGGGGGGAGGAGACGGGAGAGCGGGGCAGGGGGGGGGAGAGAGAGAAGGGAGCACCATTGGCGGATGCAGGGGAGGCAGAAGCGGTGGGTGGGCACGCGCTGGCAGTACACCACGCCCTCCTCCTTATCGTTGCGCTGGCACTGGTGGCACATGCGATTCATGCCCTGGTGGGGAGTGGAGGATGGATGGATGGGCGCACGCACACAGGGGGAGTGTTTTGAGGCGCCTCAACACACGCCTTGTCGTTGCGCTGGCACTGGTGGCACATGCGATTCATGCCCTGGTGGGGAGGATGGATGGATGGGCGCACGCACACAGGGGGAGGGAGAGAGACAGCAACAGGAAGGAGAGAGAGGGAGGAAGGAAGCAACGAGATTCGCTTCAAAGTTTGCTCAGTTGCAAAGTCAAGGCAAGGCAGCCACGTAAGGAGCTGGTGAGATGAGATGTCAAGCCCGCAGCAGCACACTCAAAAATCGACCCTCCTCCATGCTTTCGGCCAAGCTCATACCCGAATGGCTTTGCTTGGGGTAGACGGAGAGGACAGCCCCGCTGCACCCAACGAACTGGCCTTCTCAGCAGCAGCACGGTGCGGCCTGCCTGATCTAGCAGCCGCCACCACTGCAGGAGCAGGAGCAGCAGGAGCAGCAGGAGAAACGCGACCACCCTCCTCGTCCTCCTCGCCACTGCTACCACCACTGCCTGTTCCAGTGCTTGTCCCACGTCCCTGCGCCGCCTTGCCCCTCTTGCTGCTCCTGCTGCCCTTACCGCCGCCTTTGCTGCCTTCTCCTGCCCCTCCACCAGTACCCCTCGTCTCCACCACACTTGTTTCCTTCCCATCGCTCCTCCTCCTCTTGGCAGCAGAGGGAGAAGCAGCGGTGGGAGAGGCGAGGGGTGAAGAGGGCCCGGGCGGGGAGGCAACAGCAGCAGCAGCAGCAGCACGGATTGGAACAGCCTTGCTCCTTCTGCCCCCGCCACTCGCACTGGTCCTCCTAGGACTACTGATGACGGCTGGTTCAGCAGCCTCTGCTGCCTTTGCACCTCCCTTCCCATTCCCCTTCCCATCCGCCTTCCCATCCCCTTTCCCATCCCCCTTCCCATGCCCCTTACCATCCTCCTTCGCATCCCCTTTTGCGTTCCTCTTCACACCTCCCTTCACCTGCACCTCCTTCAACGTCTCCTTTGATGTCTCTTTAGACACCTTTCTCAACCCCGCTGTTGGCCCCGTCCCGTCTGCACCCGTCCCTGCAGTCTTGCCTTTACCCGGCCCCTTCTGCTGCTCCTTCCCCTGGCCCTTCTGCCTCCGGCCCTTCTCCCTCGCTTCTCCTGCTTGCCACTCCTCCTCCTCTTCTTCCTCCTCTTCTTCCTCCTCTTCTTCCTCCTCCTCTACCTCCTCCACTTCCTCCTCTTCCTGTTTTTTCTTCCCTTTCTGCTTCTCCTCCCCTTTCCTACTGCGCTTCCCGCTCTTTTTTGTGCCCATTCTCCCTTTCCCCTTCGCCCCCTTCCCTTTCCGCTTCCCACCAATCACCTCCACTGCGTCCTCACTGCTGCTATCCAGCACAACAGCAGCATCATCATCACCACCATCACCACCACCACCATCACCACCATTACCATCACCACCACCACCAATACCACCATCACCACCAGCATCAGTAGATTCACTCTGCAGGTCAACAGCAGCATCAGCATCCTCACCATCTTTCTTCTCTTCATCCGCCACATCCGTCTTTCCACCCTCTCTCTTCCCCTCGTTCGTCTTCCTCCCATTTGTTTTCCCCACATCGGCCTTTCCCCCTTTCATCTTTTCCCCCTCTGCCTTCTTCCCATCCGCCTTCATCCCTTCCGCCTTCCCCCCATCCGTCTTCCACTCTTCCGCCTTCTCCCCATCCGTCTTCCCCCCTTCCGCCTTCCCCCCATCCGTCTTCCCCCCTTCCGCCTTCCCCCCATCCGTCTTCCCCCCTCCCGCCTTCCCCCCATCCGTCTTCCCCTCTTCCGCCTTCTCCCCATCCGTCTTCCCCCCTTCCGCCTTCCCCCCATCCGTCTTCCCCCCTTCCGCCTTCCCCCCATCCGTCTTCCCCCCTTCCGCCTTCCCCCCATCCGTTTTCCCCCCTTCCGCCTTCCCCCCATCCGTCTTCCCCCCTTCCGCCTTCCCCCCATCCGTCTTCCCCCCTTCCGCCTTCCCCCCATCCGTCTTCCCCTCCTCCCTCTTCCCCCCTTCCATCTTCCCCCCTTCCATCTTCCCCCCTTCCATCTTCCCCCCTTCCATCTTCCCCCCTTCTGTCTTCCCCCCGTCCGTCGTCCCCTTCTCCCTGCTTCCCCCGTCTCTGTCACCCGCCTCCCCTGTTTCCAGCAGCACCGCAATCGCACTCCCCCAATTCCTCCCCCCCGCTCTTCCTCTCCCTTTACCCCCTCTCGCACCACCACCTGCACCTCTCATCCCCACACCACCTTCCCCCTTTCCCACACCACCTTCCCCCTCCTCCCCAGCCAACTTCCTCCCATCACCCTCCCCAACCTTCCCCTCCCCCTCCTCCCGCCCTCTCCCCCTCTGCTGCTTGAGTCGGCTCAAACCCACCCCTTCCCGGTGCTCCCCGCCCTGCTCCCTCCCCACTGAAGCCCCCCCTGGAGCCCCCACTGCCAGCAGCGCTTCTAAGGGTTTCTTCCTGGGAGCGCCTCGCCGTGCACCTTTGGGCGAGTTGCTGATAGCTAACAGCGGGTCAAACTCGCCTTTGCTTCCATCCTCCTGCTCTTTGCTGCCTCCCTGATCCTTCTTATCCTTCTGCTCCTTCTTATCCTTCTTATCCTTCTTATCCTTCTGCTGCTGCATTTGCTGCTGCTGCCTATCCGTATTCGAATCCTTACTCTTACCCCGTTTCTTCTCTGTATCGTCCACCCACCCCTCCCTCTCACCTCCACCTCCTTTCCCCTCCTCCCCGCCTTCCCCAGCCTTCTCACTTACCACCCTACCAGCAACCTCCCCTTTCTTCTTCCTTTTGGGTAGCTTCGCCTCCGTGTCCACCAATCGGACCACCTCGTCCGGTCCCTGCCCAATCTCGAAAACACTTTCTCTGCCCTGGAGCTTCCGGCGCAACTCACTGGCAGCAGCAGAGCCTCTCAGGTGTTTTCCACAGAGCTCGGAACACCTGGAGGCAACAGAGAGAGCGAGCGTGCGGAGGGGGATACCATTGCTCCCTCTCTTCTGCAGCTCTTCAATACAGACGGTCAGGAGCGGTGAAAACGGCGGAGAAAGAGGAGGAGAAAGGGGAGGAGAAAGGGGAGGAGAAAGGGGAGCGGAGGCAGATGGTGCTGCTGTTCCTCTTTCTGGGCTGGCGAGATCTTTCTCTCCTGCTCTTCCTGCTTCTTTGACTTTCCCTTCTTCACTGGTTTTATCTTCCAAGCTTGCTTCGCGCCCTCCTTCGTCTTCCCTCCCCTTCTTCGTCTTCTCTTCCTTCTGCTTTCTCTCTTCCTCGTTTTGCTTCTCCCCTTCCTCTCCCTTCTCGCCTTCCTCCTCCTTCTTCCCCTTTTCACCTTCCTCCTTCCCTGCATGACTCTTCTTCTCCTCTACCTGTTTCTTCTTCTCCTCTATTTTCTTCTTCTTCTCTTCCACCTCTTTCTTCTTTTCCTCTATTTTTTTCTTCTTTTCTTCCACCTCTTTTTTCTTCTCCTCTACCTCTCTCGTCTTCTTTTCTTCCTCTGTAACTGCTCCGTCCTTCTCACTACGTCCCTTCTCAACACTCTCATCTGCCTTTCTCTCACTACCCTCTCCCGCTCCTCCAACCGCCTCCTTTCCCTCCTGTTTTACCTCCTCTTTCCCCTTCTCCCTTTTCACCTCCTCCTCCTCCCTCCTCTCCTCCTTCCCCTCCTTTACCTCCTCATTTCCCTCCCCCTTCCTCCTCTCCTCCTTCCCCTCCTCATTCTGCTCCTCCTTCTCTTCCTCCTTCCCCTCCTCCTTCCCCTCCCCCTTCCCCTCCTCCCTCCCCTTCTCCTTCCCCTCCCCTTTTCCCTCCTCCTTCCCCGCCTTTCCCTCCTCCTTCCCCTCCTCCTTCTCCTTCACATTCCCCTCCTCCTTCTCCTCCACCCTCCTTTCCTCCTTCCTCCTCTCCTCCTTCCCCTCCTCCTTCTCTTCCTCCTTCCCCTCTTTCTTTTCCTCCTCCTTCCCCTCCTCCTTCCCTTCTTTCTTCCCCTCCTCCTTCCCCTCCTCCTTCCCTTCTTTCTTCCCCTCCTCCTTCCCCTCCTCCTTCCTTTCTTTCTTCCCCTCCTCCTTCCCCTCCTCCTTCCCTTCTTTCTTCCCCTCCTCCTTCCCTTCTTTCTTCCCCTCCTCCTTCCCTTCTTTCTTCCCCTCCTCCTTCCCCTCCTCCCTCCTCTCCTTCTCCTCCTCTCGCCTAACTACACTCTCACTCGCTTCCAAAGCCTCTCCCTTTCCCTCTCCTTCTGCCCGTCCGCCCCGCTCACATCCCTCCTCACCCATCGCACCAACCTTACCCTCCTTTCCCTCTTTGCCCTCCTTAACCTCCCCACCCTCCGAGCCTCCCCGTGCTTGCAACATTGATCTCTGACTATCCTCACCTGTCGCCCTCAGCACTCCTCCACCCCCACTCTCTTCCTCCATCCCACCCTGTCTCAGAAACGCGCTAACCCTAAACGGCCTGTATAGGCTGCGTCAACCCTAAACGCCGGGTACGAATGAGGTAACCCTAAACGCGCCTAGTGGCAGGGGTAAAATCTCCCCCTTTCCGCACTCGCCGCAGCTCTCTTCCCCGCCCCTCCTTCCGCTCGCGCTTGCCCGCGGAGCAGCGGAGCGCCTTGCGCGCACGCGGAGCCAAAGAAGCGGCGACGGCAGGTCGTGCGGTGCTGCGGGATGGAGAGCGGTGCCTTCAGGTGAGAGAACAAGCGAGCACGGCCTTCAAAACACGAGTCGCGAAACGCGCTAAGGAGCCATGCGGGTGCGCTCAGGCAAGAGAACAAGCGAGAGCGCGCCGTTTTCGCAACACTCAGAACTAGGGTAACTGGTCTTCGTCGGTCCCTCGCGATTTTCGCTGCTTGGCGACAGCGGCGATAGCGACGAGCAATTCTCTATCCTTTGTAAGCGACGACGAATGACTGATGGCTTCTTGGCGAACGCAGATAGGAAAGGGTTACGGTTAAAAGGGTGCGGTTATGTGAATGCAGGTAAATGAATACGGCTGACTGAACGCGGTTAAGTGAGCGCGGTTAACTGAATGCAGCTGACTGAGCGCGGTAAACTCGGTTGACACGGTTAAGTGAGCGCGGTTAACTGAAATGCGGTTAGCTGCGTTGCGAGACAATGACGATTAACTTGTCGCTGGAGCGGCGATAAGTCGCGGGCGAGCGGAAGACAGCGCGCGAACGACGCCGTGTGCGATAGTAATGAAGGCTGCCGGCACTTGGGCGGGCCCGTACACAAACGCCTAGGTCGCACAGAGGAATAGGTTGCAACAAAACCGAGGCTACACCCAGGATGCCAAAAGGGCAATGAAGGACGGACGAGTAGAGTAAAAGCTAGCAGTGTGTCGAGGAGCATTTGGCTTTACTGTATTAGGGCGCGTGTCCTTTGGTGTAGAAGTTCGGGGGAAAGGTTGAACTTTTGTTGGTAGCCCGCTTCGTTTATCTCGCCAAAACGATCGCGAGGGAATCGTGTGTCCTATGTCAAACTGTGTGAAAGAAGTAGGACACTGAACTAAAGTCGACCTGAGTTCGGATTTTTACGTTTTCATTTATCCAGTCGTGTGTCCTTCTGCGTACGTACGATATTTTTGCGAGGTTCACGACCGTAACGAGTTACATCGTACCTGGTTACTGAAGCCGTATACGGTCACGAACTGCACCGCCCTACCAGGTAACCTACGAAAGCTCAGCGCGACTCGTAAATTACTGTTCAAAGTTGAACTTAACTATTCGAACTGTTGTGTGCCGTGTGATACATGTGAAGCGAGGAACAGCGGCTAGAGAAAAATGAATCTATATGCTCGAGCCTAGGTCGACCTAGGTTGAAATGGTAGAAGTTCAACAAAAAAGACGAGTTTTGCAAAACACTGTATAAGGACACGCGCCCTTAGCACGTAGGAGCTCAGAACATCAGCGGTGGAGGACGGAACATGTAGAGAGCAGGGAACATACAGTGTACAGATATTGACGGTACATGATTGGAAGGATGGTATATATTTAGGGGATGGTCGATAGATAGTGGACTGTATACATATGTGTTACGAGTGCAATTGAGCGAGCGAGCGAAAACTGCACTATCGAGGCAAAACAGTACATCAAGCGAAGGCATGAGTGAAGAATATGTAGCAAAGCTAGAGTGGTAACGGTAACGTGGTGAAAATGGGGTGCGCTACGGGCCTAGCGCCGAGGTCGGGAGTTGTCGAGGCGGAGGTCCGGAGCGCGGGTTACCAACCGAACCATGAGGTTGGGTCACGTCGTGAACAGTGGCGGGAACAGTGGTCGAGGCGGTCGCGAGTGGTAACGGTGCACTGTTGAGAGTTGTTGGCGGGAACAGTGGTGTACGCACTGAGCCGGGACGCGAAGTAACGAAAATGAATTTTCCTTGCACTATCCCCCCCCCCCCCCCCCCCCCCCCTCAGGAGGCCCTCCTTACGAAAGCGCGTGTACATCCCGAAAATTTCGGCTGCACAGATACTCGGTGAGGACAGGGTGGTTCTCAATTTTATACAAGGGAACCCAGTTGTGCTCAGTGGGCGTGCGGTCTTTTCAGCGAATCAGAAATTCGATTCTGCGGGCTCCATGTGGGTCACGAACTCGGTGGCTCCGTATTTTTTCGGGCGTAATGATTGGCTCTGTTGGCGGTTGTGTCATGTTGTTTCGGCGGTTGCGGGCAGTTGGCTGGTGGCGGGGACGTTTGGGCAGAGGAGACTGACGTGGAACGACGGGCTGACATACAAGTCAGTTGGGAGGAGGAGGTGGGCGGTGACGGGGGTGATCACGTGGCTGATGCGGAATGGCCCACAATATCGGGGGGGAGTTTTGGGCTATCGGTAGGCGGAGGTTTCTGGGTGTCGAGTAAAACGAGGTCGTCGGGCTGGTAAGTAACAAGTCGGCGGTGGCGGTCGGCGTTGCGCTTGGCGATGATGATTGGTTTTTTTATTGCGTCTGCTGCTCGGATCCGTGTTGCTGTAAGATTTCTACGAACTGTTGCGCGCGTGGTACCAGGTTGTCGAGGTTCGGAGTCATAGGCACTGTGGGGTCTTGTCCGTAGTTCAGGTAAATGGGTGATTGTTGGGTCGTGGCGGATGGCGAGATGTTGTATGCGAACTCGATGAGTCGCAGTTGCTATTCCCACGTGGTCGGGTTGCCGCACGTCGGATGAGCTGTTCCATGGTTGATTTGTGTTCTGTCTGTCCGTCGGTTTCGGGTGGTACGATGAACTGAACTATAGTCGCGTGCCGAACTGCTCCTGTGAAGAAAATGAGGAATGGAAGAAGAGGGATTGCACTAGCAGCAGTTGGCATACATATAGGAAACCCTAATTGGGTTGTACTCGCTATAGAGTACCCCACTGCAGGCTAGACAATTATAACATTCTGACACACCCCCATAGCCAAAGTGGGGTGTAATCAGCACAGTGAGCAAGCAGGCATAGAGCAGGAGTTCACAATAGCGAGCAAAGCTAGATTTAATCACAGCGGGCAAGTGAGGAGGAGGAGGAACTGTGGAGGGAGAGAAGATGGGAGGCAACGACTGAAGCTGCAGAGGCACGGGCACAGGAGCGGCTGACTCAGTGGCTACCGAAGCAAGGGCGACGGACTACTGGAGTAACTGGCTCCGCGGCTATATACGAGCGGCAGGAGCAACGGACCCACTGGCGACTGGTGCAACAGGCTCACTGGCTACCGAAGCAAGGGCGACGGACTACAGGCGCTGCAGGCGACACGACAGCTACCTTCACACAACCTCCTCCAACTGCCCCACACCCTCGACACACACCCCCTGCTCAGACCCTAGCTCCACTCCCACAGCACCCCCCTTTCACACACCCCCTGCTGCACCCTAGGTTCACTCACACCCCACCCCCTAGCACCACTCCGTCGACTCCCACACACCCACCACCCTCAGCGGCAGCTGCAGCAGTGGGAGACAGAGGAGGAGGAGGAGCAGGGGAGACCACACACCCGCCACCCCCCACTCGCCACCCCCAGACCCTAACACAAGGCAGGGCGGGATGGCGGGTAGGGAGGTTACGAGGGGGGGGGGGGGGGGGCGACGCGCGGCCTCCCAGGGCGCCAAAACAGGCGGCAGAAGGGGCGGCGCTCGCCCCCCCCCCAGGTCGCCGAGCGGCCCCCTCAGGTCGCCTCGACAGGCGACGAGAAAAGAGGGGGGGGGCGGTGCACGGGCCCCCGGTGCGCCGCGACAGGCGACGGAGCATGGCCGGGGCGGGGCCGGGGCAGGGTCGAGGCAGGGCCGAAAGGGGCGGCGATGAGAAGAAACAAGGAATGAATGAACTATGAATGAATTGGGTACAAGTACTAACCCTAATTGGGTTGTACCCCTTATGGGCTACCCCACTATAGCCTACACAATATGCATGAGCTATAATGTTCTGACACACCCCCATAGGCAAAGTGGGGGAGAACAAGGGGTCACAAGACCAGTCAAGCAAAGCAAAGCAAAGCAAGCTCAGGGTGGATCACAAAGTCACCACACATTCCGAGCACAAGTTCAAGGCCACAAGGCCAGTTCACATGCAGGAGTACATATATATAAAAAGACTAGACAAGCAAGAGCAGGTATATATATATGTAACAGTACAAGTAAGGTCAAGAGGTGAGCAAGTGAGGCAAGGTAGGCACAAGGCCCAGCTGAGTACAGAAGCGCTGATGGTCACAAGGCGCAAGCGCCTTGGTGAAGATATCAGCAGTGTTGGCCTTAGAGGCCACGTACGCAAGACGCAGCTGACCACGCTGCTGCAGCTCACGAGCAAGAAAGTAGCGGAGAGCAATGTGCTTCGTTCTGTGCTCCAGTCGCTGCTCCCGACACAAGGCCAGCATGGCCTTGTTGTCTACGTACAGCACTGGAGGAGAACGAGGCGGCTCTCCGAGGTCAGTCAGCAGGTAGGTGAGCCAGCGAAGCTCCTGTGCAGCCATGGCTCCTGCGTAGATCTCAGCCTCACAACTGGAGCCGAGAACAGAAGACGAGCGAGTAGCCCGCCACGAAACAGAGCCGGAACCAAGGCTGAAGGTGTAACCCTGTGACGACCGCTGCGTAGCCTGGTCGTCAGCCCAAGAAGCGTCTGCGTGCCCAGTAAGGACCACTAGACTCTGCCCTCCAAGCACAAGCCCCATGCCCGACGTACTGCACAAGTAGCGCAACACCCTCTTCGCTGCAGCCATGTGCTCCGGTCTGTGTCTCCCAGGAGCAACATAGCGTGCGAGAATGCTAAGAGGGTATGCAAGGTCAGGTCGAGTGCAGGTCATCAGGTACATGAGGCAGCCAACAAGCTCTGGGTACGGGCCACTCGACTCTACGGACTCATCCGAAGGCAGAGCTGAGAGCGAGTGGCGAGTAGGC